TTGCCACTGCCAACTGCAATGCATTCTGGCCCATGTAGTCCACACAGTTAACATCCAGCACAGGGATCTCCTCAAGCATTCGGCGCACCACAGGTATGTTTCCATACTCGGCGGCATCAAGGAAACGTTCCTCTACAGGGGTTAGGCTGTTGGGATGGGCATTGAACATGTAGGCTGCCCCTCGCACCGCCTGCCTTCTGCTCTTGGGTAACGCCTGTCGAGCCAGGTTCTCACTATGGTTCAAAACAGATCAAGAATGTGTACTGTGACCACAATTTCACAAAATGTTTTGAAGTGTTACTATTCACACCACTTAAGTTACTCGAAAATAACCAATTACCAATCTTCCAAAGATTGCATTGTAATTCATTTTAAAAGTAGCCCCTTTTGTTATTACTGATTAGCATGTGTTTTCTTATTAATATCAGATTTTTTTTTCCCATACGTAAAAAGTATGTAAATATACAATGCCACATGAATATCACACGTATCATTGTTATACATCATTGTATTTGTGTATTTTTATTTAAAAACAAATATATAAATATTTTATATAAAACTTTAATTACTAATCTGTATAATAAAATATTATCATATTTAATATGTAAGTGTTATATTATTGTAATAATAAATATTATCACAATATTTATTAATGCTTGTAATGTGTAATGTTAATGAAACAAATTAAGTATTTAAAAATATAATGTTCATAATTTTTTAAAAGTTAATTCATAATTTATATAGAGAGAATGAAACATCATTATATTAAATATTATATTAATATCATATTATAATTATAACTATAGATTACATTATACATTATATTATATAACTGTAATGTTATTTTAAAATATTATGTATTTAAAAATTATAATTATTAAGTATTTAAATAGTATGTGTGTGTGTATATATAATTTACATTATTAATATGTTGTTGAATAATACAAATTAGTTCTACATAAAATTATTTTTTACTATTGTTACCAGTAATATTGTTAATTTATTCATAAAATAAATACAAAAATTGGTTGATAGCCATCTAGTTTTACTAAACAATATATTTTTAATATACATTCATGCTAATGACTTATGCATGATAAGATTTCAAACTGCCATTACTAGTTTCAAATGCCTATTTAATGAAACCTGACATTTTAAATTAGCAAACCGTCACATCACAGATATTTCATTGAATATTGAGTGACAGTTTCAGGTCAGGACACTGAACTACATATTATCTTTGAAGGCAATGGTAATCAAACAGACAGTACATACAGAACCTTGACCAACTCACCCATGGTAGTGTCCATAACTGCCAAAACAGTCCTCACCAAAGTCTTCGTTCATTAGTAGATTGTCTTTACTTCTGTTTCTCCTTTCAATCGTGTGATACTTTGATGGATTTCTATCCTCCAGAACAGGTCTCCTTTGATTCATAATTTCAACTGAAGCGGTTCACGTCTGAATTGTGAATACAGCAAAGCTAACACATCCTGTTATCCAAACATCCAGCTGTGACTGATTGAGTGTGCGCTACACACTGGCAAGTCACCATCTTCTACAGTCCTTTGTTATGTTCCCGTTTAAGTATTGAGATAGTGCAGAGCACCGAGGAATTCTGAATGTTCTTTTCCACTCATTGGCTATAAATGAGGAATATAGCAATCTTCATGCTGGTTTACGAAATCTAAAAATGAATTGTTTTCTTTCTTGCTCGTCTTATTTGATCAAACTGAATGTCGCTTAAAGCATTTAGTACTGATTTCAGCATTAGACAGATAACAGAATCCACTGACATTCTTGATTAGTAACATTTTCAAATATGAAGAATCACTGAAGAAATTGCAGAAATGCCACATGCAGGTCCTTCAACTTTCAAAATAACTATTTCATTGTATATTCCTCTCTGTTTGTATTAGGAACGGTGATTAAAATCTGCTTTCAGCTTCAAAAATCTAAACCCAGTGACGGAGTGCAGATGTAGAATTCCTTTGGGTCTATTTCAGCATTCCCAATAAACCTCTACATCCTGTGTGTTCATTACGAGCACCCAAATCTCTGTAAACTGTGGGAAACAGCTTCAATGGAATTCCAGACTGTCCAATCGTCAATGTACATTCAGCGGCAACATCACACTTTTGACTCTCTTTATTTTGCCTTTCTCTGGCATTCTTTCTCCCACAGTCCCACATCAATGTGTGTGTGTGTGTGTGTGTGTGTGTGTGTGTGTGTAATATACCCACATGACTAAATGTGTACGTGCTTTAGTGGTCAGTATACTGCCCACAAAAATCTTAACTGAGTATGTGAGCCAAACCAATGGGTCAAAAGGTAACCCACACAGTGGGTCATGGGAAGCCACTGTCTTGTTTCTATTCTCATGTTGATAGGCTCTGTTACTGATGACTATCAGAGTGACTATTTTTAGACTTTTTTTTATTATTTCCAGGGACATGCTAACTAACTGCCCTTGGCCCATGCTTGTTGTGCTGCAACTTTATAGATAGTTGCTGCACCAGGAATTTAAAAGTTTTCCTCTAGTAAATGGTTGTCTCAAAATAGTTATTTTTTGTGTGTGTTGTGTGTGTGTGTGTGTGAATCATCTGAAAAGGGCCATATTATACACTTTTATGTTGTAGCATCTTCCCTACTGAAGTCAACTTATAACACAAGGTTCTTGTAATTAGGTGAGGAGTAATTACTAAGCATGTATTGTTCATATAACAGCAGTGGCATTAGCAGCAGCAGCAAGCACTTTTCCTAGTTAATGTATGTGAGAATACAACGTCAAGCGTCGCGGATTTTAGAATAGTAAAGTGAATTGGGGATTACTTTATTTGCCCGAAATCTCCAATGCTTTTAATATCTTCTGTGGGCATTCATTTCTAACGTTACATTAACCGCAAACGGATTGCTTTCAGATGCACGCCTCACTAGTGGGGTTGGTTTGCAGTTGGCGTTTCACAGTTGTTCACAGTTTTAAGTCAAGGTGAACCCGTATAACTGTCTTTAATAAACGTCATACTGTCAACAGCCTTACCCATTTTAATGAGCAACAGAAAATAATATACCCGCTCATCCATGTACTCGTGCCCCATTGCAATGCATTTAGTCAGAATAGGGAGCGCTCATTTAAAGGGGCCACACCTCTATTTCACTTTACCTTGGTTCAGCGATAGTGAAGAGTTTATTATAAAAGTCATGTTTAGTGATAGTTTAAAGTGACTTAATCATGAATTCGTTTAAAATATAAAGATACTACTAATAATAAATCATTTCCAATCAGTAGCCCATGTACAATGTAGTTAATAGTAGGACACTCTTAAACTGGAATTTACTGTTTGTGTATTCAGTTGGGTTTACAGTAATTATAGTAACTAGATAAAAAAGTTCGTCAAGACAAACTTTAAGTTGGCTTGAGAAAGCCGGACCAGAAAGTTTTAAAAATATTGAAAAGATTAAAAAGTTTAAGAAGTTTAAAAAGTTTGAAGTTTGAAGGTTTTCAGTTGAAGTTTAGAGTAGTTTTAAAAGCTTGAAGTTTGAATGTTTTGAAGGCTATAAAGTCTGTCATAGATAGATAGATAGATAGGGTGGTTGCTAAGGTGTTGCTATGCGGTTGCTAGGGTTTTGCTATATGGTTGCTAGGGTACGCGGGGTGGTTGTTAAGGTGTCGCTATGCGGTTGCTAAGGTACCCGGGTTGGTTGCTAAGGTGTTGCTATGCGGTTGCTAGGGTACCCGGGGTGGTTGCTAAGGTGTTGCTATGCGGTTGCTAGGGTACCCGGGGTGGTTGCTAGGGTGTTGCTATGCGGTTGCTAGGGTACCCGGGGTGGTTGCTAAGGTGTTGCTATTTTGCAGACGCTTTTATCCAAAGCGACTTACAATTGCTGAAGTTTCAGTGACTTAAAATGGATGGTATGTGAACTCTCCAAGCGAATAGGCATCATTTGCATTTCATTTATTTAAAAGGGGCTTATAGCAATTCGAAGTACCTTTGTGCAGCTGTAGCAGCAGTAGGCATAGTATTCAGGTCGCATGTAGCTAATTTAATAGCAGCAGCATGCATAGCAATTTCATATGCTATGTTAGAAATAATATTAGCAGCAGGATTATTAGCAGTCAAATTATTGTTACTAATATAGCAGCGGCAGCAGAAAGTTCTTTAGTTGCTTGAAATTGTCAGCAGCATACACATTTTAGCTGTTGTTTATCTTCTCGTTCCAGCTTTGTTGTGGGGTTATTTTATGTGCTATTTGTGCAGCACCAGTATGTCTTAAATACTCACATCACCATATCGGCTTATGTATTGACAGTAGTAAGTTCCTGTACTTGCTTGCAGCAGCAGCAATAATCTACAACTACAGCAATAACCAACAGCAGCAGTGTAGCAGATCTGTTCCGCCAAGACCAAATGCATTAACATTGTCATATCCATCACCATGCTAAGTTGTCATGATTGAAATACATTTTTTTTAATAAATATAATATAATAAAGAATATAATAAAAACATTTTTAGAAATAATTTAAAACTTATTTTTAAAATATATTATGTTTATGTGTACCATACCTTACACTTAAAAGTTATGTTTTTTTTAATGTTTTTTTTTCTTTGCCCATATCAAGGAAAGAAGGCAAAACTCTGACCGGTGCAATGTCCAAAAAAATAATAATAAAATAAAAAATAGGTGCAGGATGCCCCAGAATGTGTTCATGGTTGTGACATCATAACAATGATTTCAGAATGAAAACAGAAAGAGAAATCTTATTGACATAATACAGATTGTCAGTAGGTTTCTATACTGTGCAACTCCTAAATTAAAGGGATAGTTCACCAAAAATGAAAATTCTGTCATTAATTACTCACTCTCAAGTTGTTCCAATCCCCTAAGACGCATGCGTGTTGTGTTGACGTGAGAGCACGACTCTCACGATACAACCCATAGCAGAAGCGGTGCACTGTTTGCAAGCAAAAGAAGAGGAGCACTACTGTAATATTTGTAATCATGTCTGAAAATTTCGAAATTGAGAAGGACTTGCATTCTTTTTGCTCAGCCTTACTTATTCAAACCAGAATATACAGACGCTTCCGGTACGTAATTAATGACAGAATTGTCATTATTGGGTGAACCATCCCTTCAATCATCAGCAGGCCCAGATGGAATACTTATTTAGTCATTTGTCAGTATATATATATATATATGGAATACGTGGACATTATTTGCATTTTCCATGTTAATTTTGAAGGAATAATTAGTGTTATGGGAATGATATTTGCTATTGGCTGACCTGCACTACCAGCATATCTGCCAAGGTGTATTGCAAAGAATTTTGTTTCGTCTTCAAGCCAGAAATTGTCATATGAAGCATAGGCGGTGGTGTCATCTTGTGAGACCAGAGACACGTGCAGCTGGAAACGTGCGTTTCTCTGATTCAAAATATTGAAGATCTTTCTCAAACCCAACCAGTGTTCACCTTCAGAGACATAGATAAAGTCAATACCTGTTTATTCATATTGAAGACATTATCTGATGTAGAAGTTAAAGGGATATTTCACCCAAAAATTTACATTTTGCTATTTACCCTTCTTCATATTATTCCAAACCTGTATGAGTTGCTTTCCTCTATTGAGCACAGAGGAATATATTTTGAAGAATGTTGGTAACAGTTGCTGGTGGCCACTGACTTTTGTATTTTTTTTCCACACTATGGAAGTCACTAGCAACTGTTTGGTTACCAACATTCTTCAAAATATCTTCTTTTGTGTTCAACAGAAGAAAAACTCATTCAAGTTTGGAACAACAAGAGGGTGAGTAAATGATGACAGAATTTTAATTTTTCAGTGAACTATCCCATTAACTGATTTATTGTACCCGGTAAGTGTCCAAATCCATCCAAGTACTGTGACCACATTCGTTTGAAGTCAGTGAGACCATCCGTCCGTCTCTGTATTACTGTCCATCCGCCCTCCATGTAATCCATCTCACAGAACACCTGTTAGATTCCAGTTTAAGATGCTCAATTCATCATGTGTAAACCATGTTTGATTTGCTTTTAGAATAAAATAACTGTGGTTGGAAATTTTTAAACAAAACTAAAAGAAGGTACTTTCCTCAAAGGAAACATCTGTGTTTTCTGGCTGAATTATATAAATTCCACTAGGGATTTTTGGAGACACGGCACCTAGTGTCTCTTGGATGTCACTACAGTCTTTCCCTGTGGAATGAAAGGGAATTCACTGTGAGGATGTATAGATGATAAATATTTTGCTGAAAGTTTGACAGCATTAATCATGTCACCGTGGGACTCCATAGGCTTCACGGAAAAGATGTCACTGTTGCTTCTCTGCACATCTGAACTGAATGTGTTTACTTTGGCCATGAGCTCGATTATCTAGAAAAAGAATTCAAAAAAATATGTTTTCAAAGAATTCAAAGCAATATGTTTAAGAATGCAGAAGAGGATATGCGGTTTGGAAGTTTGGACATTTTAAAATACCTGACTTGAGAGAAATTCCAAAGCTTTCTGCTGTTCATCAATGAGATCACTGATCAACTTCCTAGTGTTTCTTGTATATGACACTATGGTATGCTGGAGGTTACCTAAGACACACAACCTGCATTAAACTCTGTGAAAACTGCAGTGGGTTTAAAAGAGTGACAGAGTAAATGTAAAGAATGTGCAAATTATTAAAGAATATCACACTGTATGCAAAAAAAAAAGAAAGAAATGAAACACCTACTGCACAAGGAATGTTTCTCATCACGCATTAGCTTTGCAGTCATTTCACATGGCATAGTGCACATGTCTTTGCCTGCGTCTCTGTGATAATGCTCTTTTTGGCCTTGGAGAGAGACATCCTCAGACTCCCTAGTCAATATAGCAGGATCATTACGATGAGTACTGCAGGTATTCTGTTACGAAAAACATAATCTACCACACATTATTACATATTCACAAGTTGCATCATACAACAAATATTAATTTGCAGTATAATTTGTAAAATATGATTAAAAATGAAAAAAAAAGATTTATTGCATTATTTGACATGAAATTGAATTATATATTTATCTTAAACAAGTGGCCTTTACCAGTTGTTATATAAGCAACATGTTGTCTTAAAGTATTTTATTGTAATAAGAATTAAATAAATGCATTCTAGCAAATATTGCAAGAATCTAAATAAACACTTTTTAAAGATTTATTAATATATTAACATTAATTACAGATGACTGAAAGGAGATGTTTACAACACTCACCACAGCTGATGATGCAAGAAGATACAAAAATAAAGTGATCCACATCATTTTGGTGTATGCAGCGGTCCCACGTGTGAAAGTGTAAGGATGTGCACCTTCCAATGAGATGGCCGTTTTCTCCAGTGTTTTCTTGTGGGCTGGACTGCCTCTTTGCTTCAGGGAAAAAAATAGTTTTTTGTTCTGACCTCAACAAAAAGTGTACAGACCAATCCTGTTTCATTCTAAAGTGCTGTTACTTTATTGCACTTCGAAAACATCCTGTATTGGCTATGAAAACCAGATGCTGAAATGTGACACTTCTTTCTGTTGAGGTGGGAATCAGCGGGACCCAGAGCAGCATACGTAAATGCATTCCTTCCAGAAACACAGTGAGAAACTGGACATGACAGACTGAAAACCCTCAGTTATATTACCTTCAAAACACTTTGATTGGTAAATATATATTTTTCTTTATAATAGGCCATTTGTTGCTTCTTCAAAGCTAATTCATGCTGCGACTCCTGGCAGAAGCCAAATAGCTAAGCCAAAGTAATGAGTTTGATTCCAAATGATTTATATGATACACTGATACAAAAGCATATGCCAAATGCATGAATGTATATGTAAATCTTACTTTACTCTTGGCATCTATGCAGAACTTCTTGGTCATAGTCACAAGGGTTTCATGCACTGTCCTTCAGTGCCCTTCAAGTAACACATCGGTTTTAGAACCATTTTAATATACAATCGATTATCAAAATTAAAACAACACAAAGAACATAATATTTTCAGGAAACTATTATCTTATATACACACACACACACACACACACACACACACACACACACACACACAGTGGAGATCAAAATTACAGAACAAACTGCAATTTCCTAAATTTCAGGGGCACAATTCTGATCTGACAGGTGGGGGGACTAAAACTGAGTGTTGGGTAATAGTCAGTTTTAGAACCATTTTAATATACAATCGATTATCAAAATTAAAACACAAAGAACATAATATTTTCAGGAAATTATTATTATTAACATATTTAAGGGAAAAAAAAAACAGTTATTGTTTTCATTTTTTTAACACATGATGTAACCTTGCATTTTAATAAATGATGTTATATAAAGTAGGGGTGCTCCGATCAAGATTTTTGAGGCCGATCGCCGATCACAGAAAACCGTATCTGCCTATACCGATCACCGATACCGATCTTTTTAAAGCCTTCTTTTTTTATCATTTATAACGATTTATAGTGATACTCCAATCAGGATTTTTAGACACTTATTCAGGGCCTGAATTTCATATTTGAAAATGGGGGGAATTCCCCTCTTAGGTGTCTCTTGTGAGAGGGGAAGCAGCTTTCACACAGGAGTCCGCTACTGATCCGTGGCTGTTTACCACAAACATTCATCCATTATTTTAATTTCAAATCCAAACATTGTCACTGAAAATGCTTTTTCAGCATTGCAATTCTTTTTTTACACAGTACAGTAATACAATCTTTCACAGACATGTTTAAACACAATAAATATAAG